AACAGACCACAACAAACATGTGGAAAACAATGGGAAACCTGTGGGAAACAGCTAGAAAACCACAGGAACCGTCGGAACCAGATAGACCTTCCCAGCGGGATGCCGCGCCTGATACCTCCGCACGTCTTTCCTCTTCATCTGTGCACGTATGCTGCTGTCAGTCTCTTCTCCTGCTCGTCTTCGGGGCAGCTCCAGCAGCCGACAATTAATTTTATTCTTTTCCACCTTTGTAAGCAAAGACTCGGGAAGTGGGATGGATGCGTGGTTTGGAGCAATAGTTAGGAAGTAACAAGTACCTCTTCACGAAGCTACAAGTCAGTCCTTTTCTAACAGCCGGCGGAAGTGGACTGTTTCCTCACTTTGTTGCCTCTCATGATTTTAACAAGAAAATGTGGGAGTTCTGTGTAAGACCGTCACCGCGCGGAAGTCTCAGACACACGAAAATGTATCTGACACACACAGATATCCCTTAGAGAAGGTATCGACGTGCGTAGATGACCCGCAGATGTTCCGCGAGGGCGCAGAGAAGGGAGCACGGACCTTGCTGCGCAGATCAAACTCGCTTCCATCCATAAATCAACAAAGTAGTTCCAGTAAATCTGTTCTGATTCAGGATTTTGCGCAAAATCTGTCATTCCGAGCCGCGGAAACTGGGGACCGGCTCGCCACAACGGCGCTGTGGGCTGTGTGTCTCGACCACCAGCGATCCAGAATCACCAGTTCCGAGTTCCGGTCCTCAAAGAGGTTGCCCAGTCGGGGATCATCACCTCTTTTTCTAGTTTAAGACATTTTGCATCGCGTCTCAAAAAAAATGCTCCGAAGTTGCTCTTTTCCTTTTGTCTTGGCTACGGCTCTCTGCACCCATGGCATGTTTAAACTCCACTTTTGGCTTTTAGTGTAGCAACGCAACCTTTGGATCAGATTCTTGCTGAGCTGCCAAGGGTTCCTGCCACTATGCTCGTAAGAGTGGAATGAGGAAGTGATTTTGGAATTGCTGCACGGAAGGTCTTCCAGTCCTGCTGTTTGAAAGGAACAACTGTCAAGATGTCTGTAAAATCAATGCAGAACTGCACAGTTCTGGAAGGCACAACTTGCTCCGTCCACTTAAGTTGGCAACCAGAAAACTTTCTCTCATGTTGTACATCTCTTTCGTGTCTGCATCGCTGCAATGTTCGAAAATAGAGTGTAATTTGGAGAATAGAGAAGAGAGCGTGCCTAAGTTCCAGCATTGGAGAATCGTACTTGAAGCTCTCTTGAAGCTGTTCCGCGGACCATCGGGAGTCGTAACTCTCCCGAGGCTTGTTTTCCACCGTTTTGTTGCGAATTTGAGGATTAAGAAATTTCACTGGAGAGGGGGCTAAATTGTGTGAGAAGGGGGGCCAAAATCGGGTCCGGATTTCGGACCTTTTTTTGGGGTCTTTTAGTATTGGCACACTTTCCACAGGCTCCAAAAACGGTCCCATTTTTGCCCGCGTTTTGGGAGGCAGGATACCGCCACGACCTATACTTTGGAGCTCGCTTTTGGAGCGCGAAATCTGGACGCGGATCGAAAAAGCAGTGCCAGATGTCAGATAACTTAAATGTGGCATCGGTCACATTCGTTCAACTGCAGCCAAAAAGAGCAGGGTGGTTCCAGCTCGCTGCATGTGCACACTGGTTCTTGCACATTGCAGCAACTGTGGAGGCCCTTTGTGTAAGGGCACATTTTCTACGGGTTTTTTCGGGCTCGTTAATGAACCCGCCAAACCGTCAAAAACTCACTCCATCGAGACGATTTCATTCAACAGGAGTTGCATTTCGCTCCCACGGTACATATTGCGGAAATCACGTAAGCACAATGAACGGTTCGTTTCGGCGCTGGTCCGGGTGTTATTTCAGGCATACTTGCTGCTCTATCGGCCAAAGGAGGGCGGGCGCCAGGGCACGGCATGGCGGAGCACGCCGCTGGGGAGATGAGTCACAATTTGTGAAATGTCAAGGACCGGGCAGATACTGGGGTCTCGAGTGTTAGAGTCAATTTCGGAAAGTCTTGATTGAGCTTCAAGATTTCAGGGTGCAAGGGATATGCAAGTTTTCCGGATTGCAGCTTTGCAAAGATTTTAAGTACGTGGGAACTACAACCTTCTTTTCTTGATGTAGCCAATTGAAACATAATGCGCCGGTTTACCTGTGCCTGGCAGGACCGTGCAGGTCCAGGAGCGACAACTTGGCTGCAAAGCAAAATCGAGAATCATGTGGACGAATAAAACGCATCTGGGTGCGACTTATTTTTGGCTGTTTCAGCCACCCAACACCTTTTTCTGAACCGTGGCTGCAAAATATGGTTGCTGTCCTTCTCAATATTTGCAGCGACTCAGAAACATGATTTTGGTGGCTGAAACAGCCAAGAATAACAGGTTGCACCCAGGTGCGTTCTGTTGCTAGCCACATTCTTCTTCTTATTGCACAGCCACAGTTCAGAAACATGGGGTTTTTTACTCTTGAGTTGCCACAAAAAACCGGCGTCTGAGAACTTCTAAACAAGTTGCTGCTGCAAACAAAGTTCAGAGATTCTGGCGGCGGATGCGGTTTGTTCGTTGAGTCTGGAGCCAGCGACTGCATGTACTGACAAGACCACGCAACCTGCCCTGCAGCTGGATTTGCAGGGTTTGATGACCAGTACCTTGCCGATGATGGTACTCTGAGGTCCGCGAAGATGAGGGAGAGTGTGCGTGTGAGGCTGTATATCTGGCTTCTCCATAGCGGTTCTTTTTCTATCTTTTTCTAAGTGGTTGTTTATAGAAAACTAGAGTGCGGAAGGTCAAGTATAGAGTTTGGAAACTTGATAGTTCAATTTCAATTACAGCCTTTGCGGGGCATCCGCAAGGTTGGTGGCAATGCCAACACTGCAATCCAGAGTTGGAATCTTGTTAACGATCTCCCCTCTCTCACTTGAAAAGAGCCTTTCGTTTCGTAGCCGGCGCAAGCAAGGGGCGGAGCCGCTGTAACAAGTGCATCTTGCCTCATTTCCCAATGTGAAGCCCCCCAGCTTCAACCTTACGGGGGAGGGATAGAGGCGGGCATTTGCGTGGCAACAAGTACGGCTTGCTTCAAAGACGCGTGTGGCAACAAGTCTCTTAGAAGTCTGGCAACAAGTCTTCTTAAACTGAGGCCCGTCATGGGCACTTGCTCAGACGGTGCTTTCTGCAGACAGTGAATGTGAAGCCTTCAATCCTCAACATGAAACACATCATGGGCACTTGCTCGGGCAGACAACGTATAATGGAGTGGCAACATATAACGGAGTGGCGGCACGTCTACTCTGAGTATGCCGGCTCCACGTGCATGCTTAAATCTTCGGAAGAAGCAATCGTGGGATTGCAAGGCATATCGTTGTGTCAAGAGACACCACATTAGAGTCCGGGCATGGCATTCAAAAATAGCGATGCCAATGCTAACACTGCTAACGCTGATGTTGATAACGGTGGTGACTGCACAGCGAGAGAGGTTGATGTTGATGTGGATATCATGTTGGATTTGCATGAGCATGGCAAATGCAGGATTGCCCGCTGCTTGAAAAGAAGCCAAGAAGCCAACAATGGAAGCTAAAGGCATATTCTCAACACACATTCCCCGGACCAACTGACAATGAGGCTAACAGCATTTCAACACAAATTCTATGGTTGCGTCCACTGCAGCCATCGGCTCGAGCTTCATCACTTTCACCCGTGGCCTCCAGTCCATCCTTGTTAAAAAAGATTACACCCAAACTGTTCAAGTATCAAAAACCTGTAGGCCCCAGACCAAAAGAAGAGTTGGCCATGCGGGTTTTGGCTTTTGGCCTGATTCTGCAAGCACGAAGTTTTGGAGATCACCAGGCTTTCATCAGTTGTTGCTGCTTTTATGTACAAGTGGTTGTTGTTGTTGTTGTTGTTGCTGCTCTGCTTCGCCATGTTGTCTATGTTGCTGTGTGGTTATCAGTTGAAACATGCGCACTGCCCTCGTGGCGTGATGCCGACGATGGTGATAATAGTCTTTGATTGTTGTGATTGCGCTTCTCACAGTGCAATACTCTTCGGCTTTAGTAAGGATGACCAAGGCTTGAGGCCGTTTAGGGCAAGGGCAAGCTGAACTTGAGCCTAAATACAAGTCCTAGCCCTGTACCGAAGTCCTAAACATCCAATCTGAATGCAAAGCGTTAACCGTGGTGAGAATTTGGCATCTATCTTCGAGCACCTTCTGCCCTTTGCGCAGGTGTAGGCTTTGAGGTTTCTGGTCGCATTTGCCCACAGAGCCCAACACCCCTCAATGAAGGAATATGTTCAACACCACACTATTAAGGCCCTATGCATTTACGGAGCATACCTTCAACCATAATTAGTATTAAGGCCATCGATGATTTATGGTATATTCCTGCTTAGGACCAAAATATTAAGGCCATTAAGGCCATTCGTGGTTTAAGGTATATTTGTATATTCAATATTCCCGATTCAAGCGTCCTCTGGGTATGGTGTAGGGATTCAGGGTTGGTTGTGTTTGTATGTCGGAGCTTAGAAGTTCATGATTTAGGGTTCAGGGTTTGGTGTTTCGGTGTCTTGGATTTTGGTTTCTAGGGTTTGGGGTTTTGAGAGTTTCATGTGTCGGCGTTTCGGGTCTGCAAATCACCGCGCGGGCTTATGCAGGATTCATGGTACAGGTATCTTGGCTCAGAGTTCAAGATCTTCGATGCGTCGGGCTTGCGCTGTTCTCAGCGTCGTATCATGATTGTTACCCCTGGTTGAGGCTCCGCAAACCTTAAACCTAAACCCTAAACTCTAAACCCTAAACCCTAAACCCTAAGCCTCAAGCACGAGGGTTTAAACTTCAACGCAGGCCGCAGAAAGCTCGAAGGCCCCCGAGCCCGAGATTGGCGCCTGCAAAGACTGCCCCCGAAATGAGTAGTTGTCAAAATTATGGTCCCTTTTGGGGTACCCTAAATAATCCGTATTATAATAAGGACCCCAAAAAGGGACCCTAATTTTGACAACCACCCAAATGAGTAATATAGGAACCTGATTAAGAAAACTTGGGTCCTTATTAGGGTTGTTTATATGGGTCCTGCTACTTTGGGATTCGAGGGCTAGGGGTTTCTTAATCAGGTTCCTACACTAGGAATCTATAATCCAGAACATCTCCTGTGTGACATGTGCTGTCCGAACTTCTCATGGGTTTCGGTCAGTGCTTGTGCCTTGTCAGGTGGATCTTGAAGCAGAACACCTGGGACTGCTACATCGTTGTTTTGAGTCCAGAAGCCAATTCTTCAAATGCTGCGGGAAGTTTCACGTCCCGGTTGTAGGGGGGATTAAGCCTCCTCCGGGCTGCTTCAAGAAAGACAAGAGGCATAGAAGGACAGAGCGCCTGCTTGATCCTTACCGACGGGCATACAAGCGTTGCTGTGACGAACCTCTCTTGCGGTATCGTCAGATGCTTCGTAAGGTTAACCCACATGCCGAGGGGGGCAACTACACGCTTCTCTATGCCAATCCGTCGAAGTACTTCCTCACGAATGATACCCTCTGGTTGCCAGGTTTCCGGTTATACGATCTCGGAGCAGCAAGCATGACGGAGAGGTTCGTGAGCTTGCACTCAGCCCTCTTGGATTTTAACTATGGCAAAAGGGCCCGCAATATGGTACGAAGCCAGGAACTCTTCAGACAAGGTACGTCTGATGTTCCCGGAATAGACGGGGAAAGTTTTGTGCCCGTCTTCCGCGCTTTTCTCTCCAGCAACATCAACCTGAGCTACACATTTGTCGATGTGGGAGCTGCAGACGGCAGTGAACCACAAAGCCCGCTCTTCGAGTTTATGAACGAGCACCGCGCTCGGATACGTGGCGTCGCGTTGGAAGCCAGAGAACCTTTCTGTGCAAGGTACCGGGAAGCTTGGCCTTCTGTAGACCTTCAATGTGGTCAGCTAACTGCTCAGAGTCTCTACGATTCGCCGCCAAGCTTGGAAGCTTTAAAGCCGGCCTGCTCTCAGGCATATTGTGTGGATGTCTGGAAGGTTGATATTGACAGTATAGACTGCACTGTGCTGGAAGTCTTGCTGAGGGGAACGGAGCTGGAGTTGCTTCCCAAGGCTTTAATCTTAGAGGTGAACCCGGACTATCCACCTCCCTACAAGTTCAGTGTAACCGGGATCCATGGGCTGCCCGAGACGGATGATGATTTCTGGGCGCGGGCCATGCTTGGCCTTTATGGCTGCTCGTTGAGCCATCAAGTTGCTTTGCTTCGCGAATTTGGCTATTGGCTGATCGGATACCATCACAAAGATGCCCTTTATGTACACAAGCACGTTGCTCATGCTCTGCGTGCTTCGGGGCCGTTAGACGAGTTTTTGGCTTACAGCAACGCCCTAGTCATGATCGGATCTGGCTTGCCGCCTCCAGTCTTGAGGCGCTGGCTTTATTCACATCCTCACGTTGGTGTGGGCTCCATCCAGCAGCACTTGCTGCGTGCTCAGAAACGTCTGAAGCGAGAGGTGAGCTTCAGCTTGAGCATCTGACGAATGCAGGAAGATTCGGAGCAAGAAGCGATGCTTGCGTGAGCTCTCGGGTCAGTCCGGTGCATCCGTGTGCCACTACTCTAGTAGAGTATTTGATCCAAGAGCATATCATCGTATACTTGGTCCGAGCTCCTTCTGCAAGGTTGAGCGCTATGTGCATGTCTCATGCTTGTTGCTGTTGATGCCTTTTGTGAGCTTGCTAGAGCCGATTCCGGGAAGGTTCAGCAGTGTTGCAGTTACGCCCTAGACGAAAGGTACGGAAGGGTACCGTCAGCACTGTCCCTAAAGCCCAAACTCTGCGTTGTTCAAACATCCGAACACGACTTGATCTTGGCTTGGTGATCGCGTTTTGGGTTTAGGCGAGCCTTAAATCCCAAACCCACAACCTTTGACCCCAAACCCCGAAACCCCGAAACCCCGAAACCCCCTGAGCCCAAACCCCTAAAGCCCCGAGCCCTAATCTTGAACGAACATCGCCATGGATCCGGGGATGCCGCCGGATTTGCTCGCCAGGTCCTTGTCGGTATCCTGTGTGTTTCGATGTGCCTTTCTGCGTAATTCGCACGGTCCGTGGCTTCTTGTTGCATGTTCTTCTTGTGGTTTCAGTTTCCGTCACATTGCTGCTGTAATATGACACGGTGCTGAAGCGGAGTTGTACTCTTTGTGTGGGAGTTGCTGGTTTTACATGCTGCTGCTTCGCATGTCGGTGGGCCTGCTGATCCTCTGCTGATGGTGGTGATGTTGGTGACGTGGACGGCAAGATGGAGGGCCACAGCGATGGTATCGACGGCGACGACAATGTCGACCACGCGGACGACGAGAATCACGCCATGAAGGACATTCTGCCCATGACCGCGATGGCGACTGCAATGATGAGGGGATGCTGTTGATACTGAGCAAGAAGTTGATGATTATGGCTGTGATGATGACGATGCTGGTGCGTATGCTAATCTTAATGCAGCTGTAGAGCTAAAGATTCCGATGTCCGCTGCGGCGGCCCTGAGTAATGGCGGCGAGGCAGATAAGATGAGGTGACGGCATTGATGATGACCATGTTGGACAGATGTGCTTGGAGGTTCATGGGTAGGTAACAGTGGGGTGAAAAGTAGTTTGACTTTAATTGGAACCCATATTAGGGGACTTCTAACCCCACGTACAACTACCCATGAGCCTTCAAGTAGACTCTGAATTTCGGGACTCTCCAGCTCGGGCTTCAAAACTGAAAGGTTTTCAATCAAGGGCAGCAGGGTTCGAGGATTTGGCTGGTGTGTAGTGCAAGCAGTGCTTCGGTGGTAAAGGTGTCCAAAAAGGGTCCTACGAGGGTGTTCGACAGGGTTCTATGCGGGCTTTATAGGGGCGTTTAGGCAATTCCTGATGACGCAAGTCCCGCCACATGCCGCTTGACACATTATGTATTCAGTTTCCCGAAGCATCACTGGGAACTTCAGTGCAAGTGTCTCATCTAACCTAACTTGGCTTGAATTCCCAAGCCGTTGCTTGATATGACGACGAATCCAATCTAGAAGTTTTTCCTCCATCAAGGTTACTTGGAGGTTCATGGGTAGATATAAGTGGAGCCTTAAGTAGGCTACTTGTAATTATAACCCATATTCGGGGACGTATAACCCTACTTATAACTACCCATGAACCTCCAAGTAAACCCTAAACCCTAAACCCTAAACCCTAGGGTGATTCCGACTTAGGCTTTGAGCACTTGCTTGGATGCGACTCACGGCGCCACCGACTCAGCAGCGAGGAGGATCGTAAAGTGTCAGATTAAAGTAGGAACCTGAGTTTTAGGGTTTGGAGTTTAGGGTTTAGGGTTTACCTAAACCCTAAAAACCTAAACCCTAGACCCTAAACCCTAAACCCTAGGGTTTAGAGACGGTGTGGATCGTCCGATCGTCCCTTTACTTACCCGCACCGCCACGGCACCAGCTTTTGTTGGACGGCAAGATTGTGCCATTATGCCCCACGGTGAGCTCTTGATTGTCATTATGATCTCGACTGTCGTTATGACCGTGATTGCCAATATCTATGTCTATGTACATTGCCACCAGGATTTCGTCAAAGATAAGATTGCCAGGATTGCCATGATGACATTTTGATGCCGATTGCCATCTAGCTTTTTAGCTGCTGGAATGCCATTGGAATTTCGTGTGACACCACCGTCTCACCCACAAAGGGTAGCGAAGAGCCCTGCGTAGATTTGCCCACCGCGTTTGTGGTTTCCGGAACTTGTTTCCCATACCTTGCACTCCCGTCGACTTTTTGTGCACTCCCCGCACGTTAGTCCCATTGAAAGGGCTTGTGACGAGTGGTCTCACGTGTGGACACGCTCTTCGCATCGTGAGAGAGGGTCAGAAACCCTGGTCCTGTAAATCCCAAGTTGTTAGGATCCATGTGCGTAAGAAAGACCCAGAATTTTTTAATCAGGTTCCTATATTCCATTTCAAGATGCAAGAGTTAGAGTGTTGAGGTTTCAGAGTTGCTGTAGCAACTGAAAATATTCCCAGTGAGCAGGGAGTAGTACGGTCTTTTCACAACTCGCTCCTGCTTGCAGCAGCTGTTTTTGCTGGCAACGTCGAAACGGAGCAGAGCGGTGTAGTAGTCGGAGCAGCGAGAGTGAGAGGATAATTCTTAGGAAGTGTAACAGAAACATTGTTAGTATCTTCGCGATTACTGAAGTAGCATTTGCAAGAGACAACGATGAGAATGGATTCAGCAAGAGTTGTGGGAGCGATGAAAACAACAAAACAAATGTTGCGGATTGCAAGCAGCTCGTGCTTTCGGTTCTCAGATAGTCAGGCGGCTCGCTGCATGGGTGTTGCACTTTCGCTTCGGATCAGACACAGTTTCAGGCGACAGTGTTAGCCACAAGATGGAAACCCTGAACAAGTCTTCAATATAACAAGGCTACGCGGATGTCGTAGTTCTGTAACGGACTAACGCGAAGCAGCTGAGGTTTTAATTCATTGCAATATCAGGTTGCTTAGTGCGTTTACTTGGATTTGTTGAGGGTACAAGTAACTCTAATCTGGATCGAGCAGAATCCTCTTTTCTTTGTGAATCAGAAGTCCGGAGCGTAGAAGTCGAAATCGTGCCAGTCGTAGATTGTGGTAGATGTCCGAAGCCTTAGAGAAGTCCAGATCGAAGAAAAATCAAGACATGCAGAGATGTCCCCAAAGCCCTACGCACACCCTAAACCCAGATTTCGAGCCAAGTATTGTGTAGACATCGGCCCTTCAAAGCTGAACTGATGCAAGGCTTCGGACGTGGCGCAGCAGTTGCGTGTCCTCTCCGCTCAGCGGGGCAGTGCCGGCAGGCGTGCGAGATCTGCAAGCATAAATGAATATATTTTCTTACATGTCATCTAGACACGTTTTTTTTCTCAGCATGTCTAATCCATAATTTTTGATGGGCGTGGTCTTCAGGTTTGAGGCTTCCTGCGTACTCCGTGCCTCGACGCTCAAACGCATGTGCAGACAAGCTGAAGCATTGAAGCCCCTACAACCCTAAACCCTAAACCCTAAACCCCTAAACCCCTAAACCCCTAAACCCCTAAACCCCTAAACCCTAAACCCCTAAAACCGAAACAAGGGATCGACATTCGCGGATACATGTAGG